AGCAGTCTCCTGGGATTTGGCACCGTGTATATGTGGTGTTAACCGACGTTTCGGAGAACGTATCGTCTCCATCTTCAGGGTAGAAGGAAAAATATAAGAAATCCGCAAACGAAGAGACCGTGAGAACTACCGGTTCTGAAGATGGAGGCGATACGTTCCTCCGAAATGTCGGTTAACACCACATATACACGGTGCCAAATCCCAGAAGACTGCTTTCTTCAATTTCGTCTTCCTTAAGTTGACAACCCTAATGGCCGATCATAGTAGCCGTGCGGTCTAAGGCATGAACTGTCTTAGATCGCTAGGATGCTGGGATCGTGGGTTCGAATCCCACTCAAGGTATGGATAATTGTCTGCGTTTATTCTGTGTTTATATAGTCCTGTGTTTAGGTAAAGGCCTTGCCACGGGATGATCGCTGCTCCAAGGAGTCCTACCATCTATGAAGTATGATTTCGGAATTGAATATGAGGCCTGGGCCCTGAATGGGCTGGAAGATACATTGAAAAAGAAGTAACATTTGATGAAGAGCGAAAATTATGAAGCTCTTTATTATGTAATTTCCCACAACCTCCGTCAGTTATCAACAGTCTCTCAGCGCCCTTTCCTCAAACATCTTCAGTTTAAGTCATCTGGTTTTCACTGCCTCTGTCTAATGAGTAACAGCGGCTTAACCACGAAAGCGAAGTCAGGCACTTTGAATTACGCGTCCTTCTCTTACAGTGCCAGTATATTACTGACAAACCAGAAAAATTCTGCTCGACCAAAAGAACGAGTCAATCTCGGGTGACACACAATGCATACGTCAGCAATTACGGTGAGTTTGGGAGCCTTGTGTCAGGAGTTCACTATTAAGAACGTGTCCAGTAATGAGTAATTGCCATTATTTTCCCAACTTCGTTGTCGTTTGTTAGCATTTCTTATCCCTTTGGGTAACAATTTCCGGTGGCTCAAAAAAAAAAAAGGTGTCTAGACGAACCCTATTCGCATCTCGGCTATGCTAACTGAAATAATCACGAGAATCCTCTGTTCTTTTCGGCAAAATCATGGATTATACCGTGACACATGCCATTATTGTTGTTTTTTCCTGTGTCTCTACAAATTCATCACGTACAACCATCTCACTATTCAACACATGTCACTGGTTCACCGTCTCACGCGCACCGCGTCCTTCTAAAATGAGTTTAAAATTTTCTTGCAACATACAAAGCGTCTTATTAAATTTGATTCAAAATTTCTGTATATTGCATTAAATGTTTCGACCGACACTGATCATAATCAGGCGTTTAAATTTTTTGGTTAAAACTGCTGCGCTTCAGTTTTGTGGCTCTAATATTCGATGTGCAGTCCCATCTACGCACGAGCTCGTGTATTCCTTGGTGCTGGGTGCCTCTTCCTGTTTTGTTGTGTTGTGTGTCTCTCATTCCATTCTGTATATGCTTAGAAAATTTACAGCTCACAACTAGGTCAGTACAAGGGACTGGACGACCACGGTTCAATTTCCGGCATGTAAAAGTAATTTTCTCTTCGCTAATTCATCGAGGCCAGGAGTCGAGATAGCTCAGTCAGTATAGCTACGGGTCGGACAACCGAGGGGTCGGAGTTCGAGTAACGGTAAGATCAAGAATTTTCTCTTCTCCACATCGTCCAGACAGGTCGAGACCGGCTTTGGGGCCTACCCAACCCCTTGTACAATAGGTACAGGGGGGTCTTCCCGGGGGGTAAAGCGGCCGGGTTGTGAAACTGACCATTCTCCTCCAACTACTGCCGAGGTTAAGAAAATGTGGATATATACATCCAATCCCCCATACGTCTTCATGGTGTAGTGCTTAATTAGTTAAGCACAGGGACAGGTTTATCTTGTTACCTTACTATATCCATACCGGCTAAAGATACTACTGAGACTCCTATCGAGTTGGTAGACCTACCGGGGAAATTGGCTCCGCCGTGAAGTGGCCGGAATGTGAAACTAACCATTCACCTCTGTCTGCTACAAAGGTTAAGAATGCGTGGACCTAGCCGTCACCTCCCCCATACGTGTTAATGACTGGGTGTGTAATTAAGTACAGCGATGCAGTATACTCATGGCACGGTGCTCAAATAGGAACAAGGATAACTCTAACTTAATTACAGCTACGTAAGATTAGATTAAGCAATCGATCAATCAACCTTCACCCTACACAGCTGTCTCACCCGGCAAACTGATGAATAATATTTGTGACTCTGTCTGTTGGTTTCTCAATAACTTTGGTTATATTTTTTCAATTTTTACTCAAAGAAACGGCATTGTATTCAATGAGAGATTCAAATCATTGATGAAATGCTCCTTTCGTCTCGGTTATTTAAGTACACGAATGATGTGAAATTTTCTGTTAAAATTTTTGTATTGAAAATTTCCTAAGAACCCTGAGTTACGAACGAGTATTCATAAAGGACTCATACATGTACGAGTATGTACATTTGTATGAAGAGCATAATTGCAATCACTTTCAAGAATTTATTTACCAATGTTAGTTGCTTCCATAGATTTCATTAACAGACGGTATAAACTGTACACTGGGGACACGCGGTAGCGTAGTTGGTTGAGGCACTATGCTACAAGTCGGAAGGTCGCGGGTTCGATTTCCGATTAGGTCTTTGGATTTTTTCAATTGACCTAATCCTTGCAGCCGCACTATGGCCCTGGGATAGACTCAGCCTCTAACAGATATGAGTACCAGGAATCTTCCTGGGGGTAAAGGGCGGCCGGCGCGTAAGGCTGACAACGTCACCGCCATCCATGAGCCGATTGTCTAGATAATGTAGGGCCCTCAATATCTTACAACCCTATGGGCCTCCATGGCCTCTTACAGGGATAGCTTAGCATGCACGTACATTAAACTAAACTGACACCCTTTCTTTGTTAGCAACCTCCTTATCTTATTCTTATAAAATAATACTCTTTTAACGTGTATGAACTGCTCAGCACATCACACCACATTCACAGTACACTGTGCAACAGCTGCAGCCTAACTCAATTCAGTACTTCTGAAGGAAAACCAATCTTTCCGAAATGGAAAGCCTTATATCGACAATGCCTTTTGAATTACCCAGTTTCAAGCACAGGCGCTGTTTGGAGGTTTTGACCCAATTATAATCGGAAACTGATAAATTTCATTGTTCAATATAATCTCAGAAAAAAAAAATAGTTATATGTCTCTGGATTTATTTATTTGGAATAAAACAAGGAACGGTCCTTCTCATGACAAGAAGATTTACAAAAGCGTGTTGTTTAAAAGTCGTGGACTCAATTTATAATTCTTGAAACATTTACAGAAGGCAAATAAACTCTGACAGGAAAAATTATTTTTGTCTTCCTTAAGAACTATCGAAATATTTGGATAATTTTAAGAAGGTGGACTGTAGCATCAGTACCGCCTGAAATCAACCAATTGCCATAACCTTACGCATTCTTTTCACAAAGCTAATAAAGTGAACGCGTAATGGTATAGTCCAGTCTATCCGACTGCATGTTTAATTTCCAGAACTATAGATCTTATTTCAATTAATCGTAGTTTTCAGAAACTGTACTCATGATGGTCTTTAGGATTTAATTTTGGTTCGTATCAATCAAATGCGAGTATAAGCCAAGCTTCGCACGAAACTCGTAATCAGTTTTGATATTATTTAAAAAATTATAAATTAATTTCCTTGTTTCTTCTTGGTTTACTTAGTGGTGCTTTCGGTTGCTATGGCTAAGCTCGTATAGCTCGAAAAATTGTAAAGTTAACAAATAAGAACTGTTATATGTATTAGCGTGAATGATACAGGACAGAGCATCCAAAAGATAAATACAAGAACATTATTGAAGTAAAGAAGCTCAACATATTTCAGAGGAATATTATATAAGAGATTTATATCAGTTGAAATTACACACAGAGAGACATAAAGCAGTCACGTGTGACTGAGATAAGAAGGACCATTGCACTAAGGGACAGTGTTTTCTTCGTTATGGACGTATTCCTAATTTATTAAAGTTCAGTCGTACATTCGGTGTTTCATCAAGAAGTTGGCTCTATTTCAATTCAAATGTCTCAGCTTCATTACATGCTCATTCGGTTTCCAAACCTTTTGAAACGATTGAAATTAGAGTTACTTCCGCGAGATTTTAGGTTCTCACGGGTGTGAATATCACTGCTTTCGGGATGTAAGGTCATGTAGTTTGGTAGAAGGTTACCAAGGTTCTTTTGGAATGTGCTACCTACATCTCCTACCCTGACGATGGAGGCAGCATATGTCTTCTGAATTGGAAGTTATATACCATGCCTCACGGCGTCACGACCCAGAACACAGTAATCTTCACGCCTATTATCATGTCTAGATACATTTACTTTCTAATTGAAGACGTCTTCGGATGAAATGACTTTTCTGACAATAATAATTAACATTATAATGAAGTACACGTGTTGCTACTTCCAAGCTGCATAATTAATGGTGAATATATTATAGAACTGATAAAATAGCAAGAGAAACATATTAACTCCAATTTACATTTCAATTTGAAGACTGACCACTTATTGACAAATTTTCTTGGTTTCATTGATCTTTGTGAATAGAAAAATTGTAAAATCTCAGATTTCGCAACAAATTCTGTTTTTAACGGACTCTCTAATAACCTGTCTAAATAACATTTATAAAGCGATGTGCTCCGCCGTTTGCTGCATTTCTTGTCTTTAATTTGAAAGATAAATCAAATGGGCAATGCATTTATTTCTACAGCAAAATATCATGTAATGAGCAGTGCACAGAATCTGGAGGCCAGTGACTTGTTTGTTTGTTAGAACTGGATATAACTCGCTGGGCTTTAATCAAATTATATTTTTACTCATTATGAAAAAGGAAAATGGATAATACTGTGAATGAACAAAAGTATCAGCAACTAATTAATTAATATATAAGAATGTTTCGCTCATGACTTTGCTTTACAATACGGCTGAAAACTTTAACTAAGTTCTCTGCTCACCTGAGGTTGTCGTGGTTCAGTTTCAAGTTTGTGACGTCTAGACCCAGTTCCTGAAATGTGTGATTCATGAAGTCGTCCAGTCTCGAATAAGCGATCCTCAGCGAGATCTCGACTTCAGGCGCGAACTTTTCTCTCAGAGCGTCTACTACCTGGGTGAAGGAGGTCATCCGTTCGCACGCAACTAGGATGGTGTTCGTGTTGGGCTCCTGAACTCGGCACGTGCAGGGCGAAATCTCCCGGCGAACGGAGCAATGCAAAGAGGCTCCTACCGTCAGCCCTAGTAGCGTGTACAGGAACGTGGACATAGCTGCTGCGCGCATCGCACTAACCTACTTAATGTCTTGTCCTTATATTATTACTGTATCATCACTTGTAGTCGCCTGGAATAACATTGGATCACCTGCAATGTTCTCTCCGGAGGCAGGTCTTCCTTAGACTGGGAGAAAACTCTCGCACTGATTGGCACAAATAGCAATATGCAAATACCGTCACACACCGACACTCAAATCACGCCGACTCTTTCGTTCTTTTGTTGCCTCTCTCCTGGGTCCATTAGCTGTAGTGGGGCTCTCATGACGGTCACAACAATGGCACCCTCTACACCAACAGCTGGGGGGCAGGTGAAGAATTATGCACCATCAGGTTATGGCGCCAGTTTCTTCCCCCTAGCTACTAGGAACGTCTGGTACTGGCGCCAACACCACAGCCAAAAAAAAGTGAAGTAATTATAAAGGGATATTACTCTTGCTACTCTGATGACTTAATTATTCGCCAGCGCGACTAAACACAGATTGGTCGACGAGATCCTCTGCTGCTTTCCTGTCGTAGATCGACTGTCAAATGTTAGCTCACTTCATTACTTGATCTAAGAGAGAAAAAAAAATAGACGAGCTAATTCCAGCGGCTAGCTACAGTTTCTGAGGAATAATTTATCCGACCCGTGACCTCTCGCTCCGTTTGCGTTGATAAGTGGATAACCTTTGGACGTCGGGGAACAAAAACAAGTTTTGCAGCTGAGTCAAACCGTTTCTGTAACCTAGGATTCCCTCACTCAGATGCCATGCTAAGGAACATAGCTTCGAGTCGGCTGTAATATTGTTCTGAAGTGCAAATAATTAAATTCAATATGCGCAGTGAACGACTAACAGTAACGAGAGTACAAGGGTATGTTCAAATCAATCATTAATAATTTCCCTTCGTTGTATTTAAACAGATATACTGAATAATGTTTAAAATGGAAGTTGCAGATCTTAATGAAGTCTATATTTTATGACATGTACCAATTAGCCGGTTTTTAAAAAGACTGATATAGTTCAGTTTGACTTCATGTAGACTTATAGTGGGCCGCTATGAACAGGAGTGAAAACTGATCTGACGTTTATTATGAAAATCCAGTACTTCATTTTACTATAGTTTATTGAATGAATTCAAATTAAAAAATCTGAAGGACGAATATGACTTCGTATTATGTGCCAATTTTTGGCCTTCCTTCAGAGAACACATGGAAACGAATTAATGGCACAATGTGTGCAAATCACTCACACAAGCACATTTCGAGCCGGAAGCATACATCGCAAAGGGTTAAAGTATGAAAACTTTTGGAATAACAGCATCGGTACTTAGTATCTCTAAAATATTTCTACTTTTACTTTAACTCATGATTTTTATCCTCGTTGAAGGTCATACATAAATCACAGACTCCTTTAGACTACAACTTCGACACCAACATCAGAGAAAGTGCCGTCACTGAACGGTGTTCTTTTGTCTACGTGTTCTTTATTAAGTGCTTCTGCCCACAGCCCATTGGATTTCAAAGGGGAACAATTTATTTCCATCTTCATTCTTCATATCCTTTTTCTTACGTCTTTCCTATATCCGTTAATTCCAATAGTGAATGAAGTTTTTCTTCATCCTTCCAACATCACATTTTCAAACATAGCACTGTCACATGCGGAAGTACGTAAAGCTGACAAAACACTAGTCATAAACCGTACATATATTCATTTGCTATAATAGCTCTCAACTGCCTAAAAATTAATGACGAATGTTTTTGACTACTATTTATAAGCAGTATACTTCACAACATAACTCCAAAAGCTGCTGTACCTTTGTAACTATATCCCTGTTTTTGTTTTGCGTTAATTTGTTTACACTTGTAGTCCTATTTGCTGTGCGTAAAAGGAAACGTGAATGTGAAAGGGAATGCTTATACATTTGTAACTTTGTCCCTAACTCAACAGGTTTTGGTAACATTTAGTACGATATTCAAAGAAATACCTATTTTCATGAAGTGATTTTAGTTATAACCCCATCACACAAAAATTTACCAGAACCTTGATCAGCTAGCGCTTGATTCAGTGTGCGTGGCTGCCACACATCATACAAAAATTTGATTCGCGGACGAAATAAGAGGGCCAAGTTCCCAAACTTTACACTAAATGAAAATAAGGATCAACAAAGAATGAAAAATTGCATAAGATATATTTTAAAACTATGTATTACAGTCCAGAGTAAAACTCGTCACTCTCACTGCACTCACGTTACGGTTCAAGTTCCAAAATAATTTTAAGTAAACAGAAGCTGCAACCAAGCAAGGATGTGAATTATGTGGGCAAATACTGCATGTATCCAACCATAAGTCACCTCCCTTGGCAGGGCGAAATTTTAAAAATATTTTTTTCTGTCCAGATAAAATTCATGACTCAAATTTATGAGAAACATACCTCTCCCCATATAGTAACAATGTACCATTACTGATTTGCAGATAGCTTTCCTGGTTAGTCTTGCACCTAGTCATTGTTCTGTTCACAATCACCACACCACAGCCCAGAAATAAAGAATGTCCTGAATGCCAAGCTATTATTAATCTCTCTGACATACACTAACTTTTAATGTAAAAGTGTTAACACGCAGTTCATGAAAATATAGAATATGCATATCAACTCTCTTTATCTTCCACAGTCTGCCACAATCACGTAAAATCTCATTTTATTTAATATGTTACAATGCTTGTAAACATTTTAAGAAATGAATCTGTAAAAATCTTTATGTACGAATATGCATGATTAATATATCCCAGTCAGTTCCAAATGGTCGCCATAATCACTGTTCATTAATGAATACTTTGAAACTCAGGTATTCAGAGTGTCAACAAAAAACTCTTTTTTCTTGAGCAATAGCAAAGACAACAGATATACAGACATTTACTGGAAGTTGCACCATTACAAAATAATGTTTCAAAGTGAGAAGTGGGTACAAAGACATACCACTGGATAAAATATATGCAAGTATGGTGATAATGGTAACAAATGGTTACTACTTCTGAAATATTTGCACAACAGTGCAGTAATTTATTGATCAGTGAATTTCAAGATATGCCAAATTAATGAAAATAAATTAAACTCTAGTCTTATAGAAATTTTACTGTGGAATATGGTATTATATATCATGGTTCAGTTAATCCAAGTCTTCTAATGGTTTTATTTGACTTTAATATGTCCAGTTGTCAATTAAATACAATTATCTTATAAACAATTTATGTTTAATGTTAAAGTATTTGACCTATACTTACTACCTGTAAGGAATATTGGACTTCATACAGCAAACAAAATTACATAAACACAGTACTACAATGTGCAGAATACATTAATACATGTTGTTACAATTTCAACTGCATAAATGCATGAAGGCCATGTTCTTTTTCACTATGGAAACATAAAATAATTGCAAAATGGGATTATATTTATTTCACATGTCATGAAATGATTTTAGTTCCATTAATGCATTACAAAACAGTCATTTAATAACAAGCAGAAGATCTTTACATCTATATGGTACTCATGCCGAGTATTATGCCAGGATGGTCCAATCCTTCAAACATTATGGGTCACAATCAAAACTGATGGAGTTGCATAAAATTTTAGAGGTACTGGAGGCTAAAAGGAAATTTTCACTTTGATGCTTTATAACATGTATACTTGCAATAGCCTGAAATAAGATGGTCAGATAAAACATGAAACTGTGGACTCCTGAAAAGTGAACATATGGCAGAGGTAGGGATGGATGAAAACAGAGATTATGAAGGAAGAAATGGTGTTAATTGTAAAGACACTTACACGTAAATAAAAAATTTACCTGTACTGAAAATAGCACAATTTCAGACATCCTATCATGAACAGGATGGAAACAGACTCTTTACAAAAGTGAAAACATGGCAAACATAACGCTACATGGATACCTGGAGTTGAGAAGTGATGTCAGCTGTAAAAGAACTTGTATATATATGCAAGTTCTTTTACAGCTGACATATATATATATATATTGTGACATGTTGCGCAACGGAGAACCCCTCCCCTGCAGCAGTGACGTGGCGGGTGAGTCAGCAGCACTCCGTCACCCCCCTTCCTCACGGTGACGTAACACGCAACGCAGCTGTGACATGGGTAACAGGCGATAGCGGTACCCATTGCGAAACAGGCGGGCACTGCGACTATATAAGAAAGCTACACTGCCTACGAAGACAGTTGAGTTAGAATCTAGCCAGCAGCGAGTTATGAGTTACGGACGCGTGTGTGAGAATCAGTGATAGTTCATGATAACCGAGTAATAATTGGGAGTGTGTGATAAACAGTTCTCAAGGCAGCTACCTACGAGTTGAGTGGAATCTAGCCAGCAGTGATAGTTTGTGATAACTGAGAAAGTTATTGGGAGGGAGTAATCAAGTTACACTTGTATAACTACCGCATCGTACTGTGAAAACGTGTAGGCTACTGAAAACCGAGTGAATTGAATATTGCAAATAGGGTTATAAATTGTGAAACCCCGCAACAGTGTGAATAGATTATTGCGAATAGGGTTATAAATTGTTATAATTAATTGTAGCCGTTACTTGTAGGTTGTTGAATAAACCAATTAACAATCTGAACGGCGTCTTCGGTAACGAAACACGTTACACTGGTGTCAGAAGTGGGATCGGATTTACACACGTGACCGACAGGATTCCAACTCGAAACACGTTACATTGGTGTCAGAATTGTTTACGAACTTAAACATGCCTCGACAAATAATTGATTTATTGTGCATTGACTGCTTTATTGCTACAAAATGGAGATGCAGCAGATGATGGAAATGCTGCTCAAGGAAATCAGAGCTGGCCAAGAACAACTCCTGTCTAAATTGGACGCCATCCAGGCGAAGGCAGTGGCGAAAATGGACAGACTCCAAAGCCTGGCGAGAAGAGATGGTCGCAGAAACAAGAGCTATCCAAGTGGAGACGAGAGCCATCGAAGCAAGGACAGCCGCCATGCGAGAGAAAACGTTGCAAGCCAATACGGATGCCTGGCAGAAAGAGATGACGGCCTGCCGAGAAATGATGGAGGCAAATCTACAAAAAGTAAGATGATAGCCTTCCAAGAAATGGAGACACATCTACCAGAAGAAAAGCCGGCCTCAACGGACACGAAACCTGTGGTGGTACAAAAACGAGGATCCCATAGTAATACCGGCCGGGGAGATGATGGCCTGCCGAGAAATGGAGGCACGTCCTGAAGATGAAAAGCCGGCCTCAGTGGACAGGAAACCTGAGTCGGCAAAACGAGAGGTACCCGTAGAAGACGCCGAAGTAATGCTGGTCGGAGAACCAAGAAGAAAAGGCGTAGGGACCGAAACAAGCGATGAAATATGAAGAATTCGACATGGGAAAATTGCGGACCCCACAAGAAGTTGGCCGTAGCCCGCAGGGGGACGAGCCGCCATGCAAAAGAGGAACGGCAGAAGGAAAACAGCAGGAAGGTGTCCCGCCTTGCAACAGTGGCATGGCATAGGAGGAACATCTTCAGGAAATCTTGGACTCAAGGAGATTACGTATCCCGGATGAAGTTGGCTGCCACCTGCAGGAAGACAGCCCGTCGCGCGACCGTGGCACGACATTGGAGAAATACCTTAAAGAAGGAAACTCCCCAGGGAACCTTCGGATGCCAGCGGAAAGAAGTGACCGCCACCTGAATAAAGACTACACGCTGTGTAGGACACAGGCATATGGGACAAAAAGCAGAGGATGTTGAACAAGAAACCTGGAAAGGAAGAACTGGAATAAAGAACATAGACGGCAGACAGCCGCTATGCCAGAAGAAAAAGGTGCCAACCAAGGACGCCATCAGAGGGTGTAGATCAGGAAAGTGATCGCACCTAGGAGGGAGAATTGTAATATGACCATCTACGAGATTGTCAGCATGAAGATCGCGAAGTGAATGGTCGGATCTTCTGTCAGATTATGACAAGGCAAGGATTGGACCTTGTGGAGGGGACAACCTCCTCCAAAACGGAAAAAGATACTTCAATCAGAGGAGGAACCGGTAATGTAGAAGTGCCGGCTTCCCAAGAAAGAGTGAATGTGACGAACGAGTGCGACACAATGGGATCTTCTAGGCAACTTAGCTGGAAACCGCTCGAGGCGAGCGGGTCTTCAGAGGGGAGCGGTTGTAACGGCTGGATAAGAGTCACTGCGAGGAGTAGCCGAAACAAGAGGTGCTGGGAAGAAAAGGGTTGCAAGAGCACGAGTGTGAAAAACAGATTTCAGCTCGAATGAGATCACCTTCCATCACGAGGATGATGAGTTTATTTCTAAGAATATTTGGTATTCGCAGGGCAAGTAAAAGAAGGAAGCTTGAAGACCTGCAGGAGGAGCTTAAGTATCTTAAGCAGACAAGTGGAATGACTATCACTATCATGGAATGCAGAGTGGCTCAAATGGAAGAGAGAGTTGATACCATCCTTAGGGAACGGGCTCAACTGTGGAAAGAAATTAGACAATTGCAGGAGCAGTGTGAGATGCTGAGCACAAGTTCCAATACAAGTCAAGATCACAAGAGTTCAGGCTCAGATTTTGTCAAGATGCAGAGCTTCCGCAACAGATGCTAATCAAGTATCTGAGTCCTTGGAGGTGGATCGTTCCAGATAAGCTGCCAGTAACTCGGCCTATCAAGGATTTCTGAACATTTTCTGGAACCCAAAAGTTCAATACCTTCTTCACATGAGCCCTCCACTGACATTTCCACCAGAATTCTATGGGCATATTTCTTCTCACCATACACGCTACATGAACTGCCAGTCTCACCCTCATTGATTTCGTTATCCTAACTAAACATGGGAGACCAGGGTCTGGTGTTACAATATTAGTGATTTTTTTTATATGCAAGTGCATATATTGAAATAATACCAGTGTACAATGTTAGTGAAATAATAGATTTTAAGGTAATATTTCTTTAAGGTTCATATTGTAACGTGTTTAGTTCGAACATTGCGCAACATGTCACAATATATATATAAATTAACCTGTATGAAAAAGGAGAAAATTTCAGGAAACATCCCATCACTAACAGACTGAATAATTAACATACGGTTACTTGCACCCTCACGTTACAGCTACTGTTTTTTGAAAATGCTATGCCATATGACAACACTGAGAACTAGGAATTAATAACTAGTGCTTCACTGTGGTGATTATATACAGGAAGTCAAGTTCATTTCTTGAAACCTCTTACTATTCTAAATTACTGCACTCAGTCCTTACTGCTCTCTTCTGAGGTGGGAGTAACACTTAATATGGGCTCTGATATTTTTGGAGTTTTACAATTCAACTCATTCACATCATTATGACTCTGACAGAGGCTAAGGTAGAGGAACAGGAGAGAAATGAATATTTGACAAAATTGGTCTCAAACTTGAGGAAAATACTACAGCACTTACACATTCTGTTGCATGTTCTTGTATGTATCATTATGGTGCACACTGCAGGATGTACTGAATATAAATCATGCGACTACCTTACAATCATGTAAAACTACTTACAATCTGGTTGACATATTTTATTTTAAGTAGAAATGGTGTGTGTGTGTGTGTGTGTAAAGTAAAAAGTAAAGCTATCCCTGTACCAGGCTGGGAATGCCAATAGGGTTGTGAGACGTTCAGGGTCCCACATTATCTAGACAGTTGGCTCAAAGATGGCGGTAAGGTTATGGTGTGTGTGTGTGTGTGTGTCAGTACAAATATCTTTGCTTCTGTATCAAGCCTGTGCTAACTTTATAGTGTACCACAGTTTTTGCTCTATTTTCTTAAATAGCAAGTTTTAAAGACAACCTTTATAGAATGTAAACTCAGACAAGAGTAGCTGTATGCAAGCTTTCATCTCTGAGATTTTTCTAATGAGACAAAATGTGAAGTAGCCTAATGCTAATTATGTACCATCAAGATTTCTTTTTCGCATGCAGTAGTTCAATGTACAGGCACTGTTACCTGATAAAACACTGGAAATTAAAAAATCTGTTACCAAGAAGGAATCAGAATGGAAGTGGAAATTTGAATACTTTTTTTTTGCGCTCTAAGGAAACAGTGTGGAATATCAAACCAAGACACAAAATGTAATCCATCAGTGGGCATGCTGTGGTTGGAAGGGAATGTTAACTGAAGTATCAGTACTGTTCTTGTGACAATGAGGCCTGATATTCTAATACGTATTCTATTAAAACTTGTGAAATATCATCACATTCATGCAGCAAATAAGACATTTTTTCAGTTTCAGCCCAGCAAGTAAACTGGAACCACAAACTTCAATAAGAGTACTGACCTGAGAATGAGTACTCTAATCAGCAGAAACAAAGTGACAAGGAATGAAGGGATATAATGCCATTTCGTCTGCTTAAAGTCAACCAATGTTTCAAACATGTTGCTCCATATTCAGGGTCAAAGAATAGGACCCACAAGAAATGGACATGAACCGGGTAGCAAGGTCTACTTAGCTTATTCTTCAATCCTGAAGATGGAAGTGACAAGTTCCTCCGAAATGTTGGGCGAGTTTAAATGGGCCACATGGCATTATTTCCCACAAGACAGGACCCTTCATAACACCACCACTCTGATAGCTTCAACTCATACAAAGTGACAAAGGACAAAATGATTACACAATAAGCTTCATGACTTGGATAGGGTGATTAAATCAAGGATGATATAGGCAGGGCATGTAGGATGGATAAATTACAAAAATTGTTTGTCTCTATTCAGCTCCTTATGTAAATACAGTGAGCTCTGTGGGAGCACATATTCAAGCAGAAATTGAACATTCCTCTTACCAAACCAGGTCCACTCACCTAAAATTTGTTGCTGAATATGAAAGTCACAGTAGATGGCAATCAAATTATATGTCAAAGAAAGTTTAAAAATCAGAGCATTTAATAAGTGAAACTAAATAAAAATTTTAAGTACTATATTTCTATCCTGTAGTACATTCTTTTATACTGTGCACCATCTCCCCTTCCTATCAGAGTGCAATGTCAAGCAAAGGCAGAGGGACAAATCTGGGTGCCTAGCAGAATGAATGATAATTCCACCATAGTATTACGCAATTGGAAAGTATGCTAAAAAATGTAACAGAAACATATTTCTATAACAACAATCTAGATAATCAAAATAAAGCTGAATTAATTTCCGTTACTAAGTCATTCCCAAACAATGAATTTGACAAGGTGATTTAGCATGGTCTGCTAGGCATGCCCCAGTCTCGTTGATGCTGGGAAGTCAGTTTTTGATCCTATATAAATCATATACATATAAAATGGTAGGTTCATTAGGTGACATAACAATGTGAAACATTTTCTTTCAACATTTTCTGCTTATCTCAGGGACTGTTTTTTATGAAACAGCCTCACAATTCTTGCATAAGCTGAAAAAATAGGTTTAGCTGTAAAAAGGTTTATGGTAAAATTTAAACAATGAATATAAGCACATCAATTTTGTAAATGTTCATTCTTTCTCAAAAGAACACAGTATCCTATGGCGATCACTTGGATTTCTCACGTGCGTAAGAAAACTGCTCTCAGATATAACTGGAGCGTACAATTTCATTTGCATACAGTTAAAAGGAAATTCAGGCCATCCAAGCAGCAGAAAACAGAGAAATTAAAATATTCACAGAAATTTGCATGAATTTCAGGACACTGAAGAAAAAGTAAGATGAGATATGGAGTAGGCAGTTACCATGTAAAAACACAATCCGAAAACTAGCCTCACCTAGCCTCTTTTTAACAAAAATTATCTTCGTTACAAAGTGAAACGTGGATTTTCATATAACTGGAAGTTTTTGCTTTACTTTAATCAGACACTTCTTAATAATACAAAAAATGAAGTTTGAACTTCAATTTGGCGAAGGAAAACTAGAACGATATTTGACAATGACCCAACTATATTTTTGCAGATGCACACAAAACCAAGTCAGCAGTCTGTGAAACACTTTCAAATCTACCAAATGACAAAATACAACTATTTCTGTTAACCTCCTGCTTGTTACTTAAAATATTTTGCAGTGTTAGGGAATCGCTCTGCAGTGAAATCTGGATTACTGGCCAAGTTTTCCCTCACAGTCAGGCGCACTTGTTCTCTGTATGCTGCTTGTATTTCAGGGTCATTTCCAGCCACCTGGGTTACAGTCTCCATCCCAGTCACTGCATCCACTCCTGCAGCATCTACAGCATTACCAACACCATCTGCACACAGAAATATTGCATGAAGTGAATAAGTGAAAGTAACGTGCGGGTGGATTATCCATTTGCACATTATGAGTTCTAGAGACAGAGGTTTTACAATGTAATCATTTATTTTGTTTAAAATACTATCTAAATACTGCATCTGGATGCACTGTAATGACATATACAAGGAAGTCCATCTGAAATATCATAATGTGGACTGTTCTTTCATCCCTTTCTTTCTTGTTCTTCTTCCTTTCTGAATGTTTTCTAGCATCTCTTGTACAAAATATGCAACCACCCTGCAAAGCATGGTTATTTATATCATGCTGCAGGAAGCCTGATAAAGAAAGGCCTTGGTAAGACTTGTTTCACTCTAACTGGATACCTTCTTTTCAGTCACTACAATTCTCATGAGGAAGAGACTGACTTAAATCCAATAATCCAATACCTTCACACTTTACACACTTACTCTCATCTTTAATGCAACTCTGTTTACAATTACTCCTAAACTTAAAACAATATTTAACTTAAAATTAAACTGTGACATGTTTCAGCCATACTTGACCATCATCAGGCAAGTTCACTTGTTGAAATTGCACACTGCATTAGCTCTTAAGTTAAAATATTCCAATGTTATTCCATTTTCATCGTTCACTCATTAAAATACACTTGCTTGGGAACATCAATCTTTATCTTTATTTGTCCTGCCTTCTTCTTGTGGCGTCCATGTCTTCTGTGTTGTTCTGTGTAGCCCTATGAATACTGGTGTGATATCGTTATTTTTATGTCCCATTAGTATGATCCCACACAGTTGCTCTAGTTGAGTGTATGTCCAAAAATAACAGCAACAACACACCAATATTTACAGGGCTACACAAAGCACAGAAAACCTGGAAGCCACAAGAAGAAGGCACGACAAGTAAAGATAAAGAGTGGTTTTCTCAAGCAAGTGTATTTTAATCAGTGAACGATGAAAATGGAATAACATTGGAATATTTTAACTTAAGAACTAATACAGTGTAACAATTTCAAAAGTGATCAGTTGCCTGAGGATGGCCAAATATGGTTGATATATGTAGCAGTTTAATTTTAAGTTTAATATTATTTTAAATGAAGAAGTAATTGTAATCAAAGATGCATTAAAGACACAATTGTGTAAAGTGATACATCAATGCAACAGGATGCTGAAATACATTACCTCCAATAATCTGACTTAGGCTTCCTTGAGGTTTTGCTGAAGTTACTATTTTACGCCGCTTAGATGGCATCCCTGAAAGATAAGCATCACTGAATGGAGGCTGAGGATTCTGCCTACGCTGCCTTTGCGTGTCTCTTGTTATAATTGGAACCCAATCCTAAAATGAAATGTTTATTTTAGTACACACATGTTACACATTTTGCAACCATTCCACAGGCAAGAACTGCTGCTAATGAAGATAATGCAGATCATGCCATTAGCTGTAACACTGCTCACACAGAAACAGTAAAGCTCCATGTCCACAGGACGATAAATTCACTTTTAGATCCATGTAATCTTGGAATTATATTGGGTGTGGGGGGGGGAGGAAGGTAAAGCTCCCATGTTCAAATTAAGCATCATGCCACGAAGACATATTTGGAAGTAAAGGTACTGCTCCACCATTCTTCACTTTGGCACTGGATGGAGGTCAACTTCATGCCTCAGTCACTTTACCCACAGGTAGAGCCCCTGGTACCCAGTGGATAGGAGGCTGGATGGGCCCCAGGGCTGTGTAGAGAAAAATCTCTTGCTCCTGCCAGGAATTCAACCCAGGTCACCCAGCCCATAGCCTGTTTATATACTGACTGAGCTTCCCTGGCTCCTGGAATGATGTAGACAAAAAGAAAACTGCCTCTTCAAGAGACCACTCTCTTGTGAGAAACATTACCCTTACATCCTTTATTCATTAGTTTCTTCATAATGACACAGTTCAAAGAGCAACAGGAAATAGAAACAGAGTTGCCATGTATAAATTACCAAAAAGCAGATAGCAACTTACAGAAGGCAAGGTGGTGTGCCATGCTTCAGAACCCAGAAGCACATCAGGGAGAGTGTCAGTGTCCATTGCCAGACCTTGATCTTGAACATCCTTGTTCTGAAGTGGCACAGTAATTCGGTTACATTCAGACGTAATACCATCTGTTTCCATTGGCTAAACAAGGGAAGAACAGTAAGGTTCTGAACATTTAATGGCAATATTCTGAAGGGAAAAAAGTGGAACTGACAGATATTTGAATGAATACATTCTGTTCTGTTGGGTCTACAGTGTGTAGGGTCACACACATAATCAGTGTAAAGATGTGCTTTTTTTTACCTCTGGAACAGCAGTAGCCTCTACCCGTTCTGCATGGACCAGTGATTCCTGTATAGGAGTTGATGACGGTGTTGGAACAGGCAGCTCAGCTGTTGCAGGGATGCGGTACACTAGAAACCGCTGTATGTCCTCAAATGGAACATCCAGCTGAGAGAGATAATTACGCAAATGTGTGACTGAACTTCCCACAGTCCATTGCTGAACAGATGGTTGCATTCCACTTGTGACGCGTTGCTGTAACAGTTATATCACGAAATATTCACTTTCTGAACTGTCACAAAAATGTTATTAAATGGTATACTTAGGATAGCGGGCTCAAAATATGGTTAAGAGAACAACGGACGGTAGCAAGAGGAATCTGAAAGGTCCAAATGATTCACAAGAGTTAACATGAACCAGACAGCATACTGTGACATGTCTGCTGAAAGTCAGAAAAACAGAGTCAGAAGAGATGTCCATGGCTAGGCAGTGCTTCTGTAAAACCGTTCCTACAGCAACAAAGTCATGTGACTCCTGAAACAATTACACAAATACAACAGAGGAACTGTTGGAAGTGGTGCTTTCTGTTGGGTTCATGCAGAGGACATATCAGGACAGCCTGCAGGCAGACAGTCCAGTCTGCATCTGATGTTGTGAGAAAGTCGCTCCCTGGGAGAAGAGTCCCTACTGTTGGAGGCTGTTGCACAGCAACATGCAGTGAAGATATTTAGCACATGCTACAGTGCAATGTAATGTGCGTAAAGTAGTGAAATGTCTATAGTTACTTGCAGTCATGCGTTTCAGTGTCCCATAAATCCGACTACCATTCAAAACCCTGTGTCTAGTCACTAAACACATGACAGTATTAACAGACAAAAAGAATTTTAATTTAATGATTCCATTTTAAGTCAGTTTCTTCTTGAGATTTCTGGACTAACTCAAAAGTGTATATAAGGTCAGAATCATACTAAATATTCAGGCAAATAATGCTGAAGATCAGACCTATAAACTCCTTTATTAAATAAAATGGCTCCCATACATTAAACAACTCTTCAGTAGTTTGAAGTGAGATTCCTGCATTTCCTTTCTGTTGTCATGGCTATAGCAAATACTGGTGGTGACTTTTCACATTACATTCATGTAGGAAAACACAAAGCATATATACTATCTCAAAGTGCTTCCACATAAGATATCCTAAAACCAAGAAAGTGTAACTGAGCAAAAAGTAGCAAAATTGCATTAAGTAAATAAGCAAAGTTACAATAAGTAAATATACTCAGCAAAGCGTAATTGAGGCTATTTTTTTTTCCCCTTGGCACTAGAGCCCCAGTGGGCCTAGGCCTACCTCCATGAACTTCTCCGTTCACTTTGGTTTTTCTAGATCTTACACATTCGGTAGGACTCCTTGGGCAGGTGATCAGCTCGTTGCAAGGCCTCTACCTATATCCAAATGCAGAAAAACTCACACACAGAAACTAAACATCCATGCCCTGAGTGGGATTCGAACCCACGATCCTGGTTTCCAAGCGAGCGAAGACAGTACATGCCTTAGACCGCTCGGCTACCGTGACCCGCAATTGAGGCTATTACCATGTACAATTTACTCACCACATAATTCTGCACTGCAGTCACCAGTCCCTGAACTTTATCTACACAACAGTGCAACAAAATGGCAGCCATTTCTGCAACATATGTTCGGCACCAACGGACTATTTCCTGACCAAAGTGGTTATTATTTCCTGTAAATCAGAAAGCAAAATAGTAACTGCATACATAGGTTTCAATTCTTATTCTAGCACAAAAACCATTTTACTAACCTTCAGCCATTATGAGTGTGATAACTTGTGGAAGGCGGATCTGATTATACCGATTTGATGTAGCAACTAAATCTACCTCCTCTCTAAGCCGTGCTCCCGGCTAAAGGAAACCAAAAGCTAGCTTAGACACAACAATACAAAGTGTACAATCAATACAATATAACAATTTTATTCCTATGGGCATCACACATACTTCAAAAACTGTTACACAAATTTCATTCCTAGGTGCCTTTAGGTGTGTAGGGATGTACAGCTAATGTAGTTCAGCAACACTTCCATATTAGATAAAACACTGGGCTACATATATCGCATGATAAAGGAGGCTATCAAGATCAGGCTTCACCTGACATTTCAACAGGCACTGGGGGGTTCCAATCTCAGTTGGTCCTGGTGGCTAATATGATACAGCAGTAAACAAGGCACACCAACCCACTAATCCCAGCAACTTGTGACCGAGCCCATTACCCCCCCCCTCCAGCTCACACTCAGTTTCAATCACAGGCCATGGGTTGTATAAAGATGGGGTGGTTTAGATCCTAAGTCACATCAGACTCTGACACTGGGGACCCAGATGGTCCCTGAAACATTGGTAATTTTTAACCAACCAACAAACATGGTTGACAGCCTGAGAAGATTTTACAAACTTAAGAGAAGATGCTGGAATATAAAACATGACATGTTTCACATGATTTGACTCAATTATGAGTCTTAGGAATAATTTAAGTAGCTTTATTTCATATGGTGCAATAGACAGACCATAAAGTCAAACTGAGGTCTCATTTCCCTAATCAATCTGTCGGCTCCTCGGGCAATGTTCTCTGGAGTGGGGGTTTCGCCTTGCAATACACGCTGGCCAACAAAGTCCCTCAGCTGGGGATGTATGTGGTTCAGTGAGTCCACATGCCCAAAACGCTGGGCAATGAGATCCTGGAATGTTAAACTTCTAGCCTGAAAGGAAAAAAGAATCCTTTAACCTCTTACACAAATCCATACACAAAAGGCTGATCTAATTGTCATCAGCATTTACTTCTGTCAGTCTTAATTGTTCTTGATATTACAAAAGCTGATAATGAAGTTGCAGTGACAGTTTACTCGTATACTGCAATACTGACTTACCAATGTCATAGCTAGATCAGCAAAGATGGACTCTCCTTCTGTGTAGGAATGGTCAGGAATACACTGCAGTAAGTCTGCCAAGGTTGGACCTGAGCCTTGCACGAAAAATGCTCCTCCAAGACCACCAGACAAGTTCTGATAAACAGAGTAATAGATAATACTTAATGGATACTAAAAACACAATATCACTACACCTCAACAAGATGAGAGGAAAACCACCCTTTCCTTCAGTTTTACGCCAAGTGTTCAGTCTGATGTTGCACAATTCAAACATTTTAAAAATATTTCCAATATTGAAACATTTTGGTTTTTGGTAATGAATACATATAACAAAGATCAACACGGATTTTTCTGAGTAATGGCTGGAGCAAAACCTACTCTGCAGCCACACAAATGTAAGCAAAAGCTGTTGATATTAATACAAGAATATGTGTATTGAAATGGTGAAAACACAATACACCAGCAGAAAGGAAGAGAAGGCCACAGATTTATAGAATGCAATGAAGAGACTTGACTGAACACTTTAATAATTAATGTGTAACTTTGGCTGTCATGGTTTACCTATGAGTTGCAACTTTTTCCACATTTCAGCACACATTTGAGCTGTAAGCAGTCAGACTTCAATCAGTTTATATTTGTCTTCATGGATAAGCTGTTATATTTAACCTATAAGAGACGGCCCTTTCAATTCCGGTAATGGCTGCGGAACTGATTTAATTTAAATGCCCGTGATTATAAAGCAATAAAAATTGTAATCATTTACTAAAATTGCTGTGATTTCTACAATTTTTGTGATAAACGAACCAAATAAACGCTGCTTTTTTCTAGAAAGAATATGGAATCAGATATTATACTTTACAGACTTTATAAAATGTGTAAAATTTTTTAGACTGATTCCAAATTAAAAATTCCCCAATTTGTCATCTGTCTACAAGAATTCATATAGTTCTTGCAAGTATGAATGCGGGTGATGTGGCAACACAGCGAAATCTTAGCTACCTCTGGTTTAGGCTAGCATGTATCAATGTTTATTCACATACGTTCTTTCGGTATGCAGAGATGTGGGCGAGTATCTATTCGTTTATAAGAACCCTGATTGTTTATTATCGCTTCTAGCTACACAACAAGCACTCTGTTCTGACACTGCTGGCTAGTGTATAAGAACTCTCAAGGCTAGCATCCTTATAAAACAGCCCACCGCATCAGAACTGTCAAGGTTAGCATTCTGCGAAGTTGTGAACCAACCAACCATTGCGTGGTCTCGTTTGGAAGACTCGGATGTATGTCAGCTCATAAATGACTCCAAATCAGATTGTTGTAAAGATAATTCTGAGAGTGGCGTTGAGGAAAGTGAATCAGAAACTGATTTCGATGAAGAACCATCATCTTGGTCGGCAACCTGGGGACCACCACACCAGCATGGCAAGAGGAGTGTGAATAATTATTCAGGTGGAGCTGTGGGCAAACTGTGGCAAACAGTTATAGCATCTGTCGTCGAACCTGGAAATGGACAAATAAACTATTTTTCCATCTCCTGGATCTGAACAGTTACATCCCGTTGTCACACAGGGAACTTCATCTCGCTCTTGTGCGGAACATGCTGGAAGAGGTCCACCTAGCCCTCAACGGACCAGGGGTCGAACTCCTGCTGTTTCATTGGGGATATCTCGATTAGAGGAGGCCAAACCACATCACTGGCCGACTTCCTCTACTTCACAATTGAGGTGTCGTGTGTGCTTTTCGCGTGGGAAACGAAGAACCGTCCGGACAAAGTGCGTGAAGTGTGATGTCAGACTCTGCATTTCCGGATGTTTCCAAGAATTCCACACGAAGGCAACATTCCGTTAGATGATGCAGGTGGGAAGACAGCCAACTTATAAAGCTGGTGTTCAAAAATCATGTAAGTAGAACAAGAATTTATATCTTAAAATTAGATTTTAAAAAGATGCGCACACGCGTAGAATGGGCGCCCTCATATGATGTCATTCGTCCCCTTGACTTTATTTTTGTGTCATCATATGAGGGTATTAGGCTATTAAAGGTTAAAACATTTTAATTTTTTAAAAAATCTTCACGTGTATAAAGCAATACTGGGAAAGGTATAAAATTATTTATACTTCTCAGGTTCTAACATTTTGTGACAAACCAAGAAATACTTTCACAGATCCAAGAGAAACTTACCTCAAACATTTGTAACATCATTGGTATATTGATTGGAGGAGTCTCTCCAGCCTGAAATGAAGGACTTTATTATAACACGATTCTTCCAAAACAGATACTTGGCAAGAGAAATTCACAACATTACTCTGAATCCAAGATTACAACTATGTTATCACTGCAACTGCATGAGACCTCACCCCAGAGGTTCCTTGGCCAGTCAACATGTTCATCAGAGAGAGGAATGATAAACCTGGAGGTTGGTTTGCTGGGCCAGAACCAGCAGCAGAAGCTGACTGCATGTTGGAAGGTCTGGATGGTGGAGGAGGGGGCATTGGTGGTGGTGGGACTTGGAAGGAAAATGAACCCATGCCCATGCCAGGGGGTCCACCACGCATGTTGCCAATGATGTTTGAAATTAAGCTGAAAAGAATGTTCGCCTGTGGTTGTGGTTGGGGCTGAGGCTGTGCCTGGGGTGGGGGTTGTGGCTGAGGTGTTGGTGGTGGTTGGGGGGGCTGGTTACTGGCATCTTGTGATGGCTGCGGCTGTTGCTGAGGTTGCTCTGCTACTTGTTCTGACACCTGAACTTCAACATGCGGCTCTGAATTTGTAGTGCCAGTTGACTGCTGCTGGGCCTGCTGCGCTACTCTCTGCCTACGCCTGAATGTCCGTACATGGTGTGAGTTACATGGCAAGAAGGGATCAAAGTTGGTTGAACTTAAACCTGTAAACAAATGAAACATGTTACAATAAACCCCAACATCAATTACAGTTAACACATAAAGATGGCAAGGGTATTTATTTACCAGCTTTTGTACATCCAATGTGAAGTCCACACATGCTCTGAGACATGTCAATGGCTATCAAACCACCATCTCCATTTCACGGCTGACAATATCACATATCAGATGCAGGCAAATGATTGAAACAGGACTCAGGCTATTCCCTTCTCTTTTGATTAAACAATTCTTTTCTGAGCTTAGTATTCTTATAATATGGCCAGAAATGTGAACACATGTTCAAATTCACATATTTTCACATTAATAAAAGAAAAATTACTAGAAAAGAAACATTAATGTTACACTTGCATGCAAGGGACAGTTTCTGTCTGTTCCTTGCCTACCTGCAGTTTACCAATTATGTTTACTTTGTCAGTTTTTATGACAGCAACACAAGGATATCAAAGCAATAATGTGTAATATTTATTATAATGGCTTTGAATTCCTACTTAATGTAAAGTTTTCCAAGTAACACTATGATGATGCAAGGAAAGGATACAAGTAAATTCCATGCACCCTAGGAGAGTTGTCAGCCTCATGTTCCAGCTACATTGGCCTCAGAGCAATGAATTACATTCATGGAATCTAACCCTTTGCATCTGGCAAATATTCTGTCACTTTTCTGAAGGAGCTGTCAATAAAATAGAGAGGGAATGAGAATGACAAGGGCATGTTCCTTGTTCCATGGAGAAATTGTGGCTGTAGGCATGACAGCATTATGCTATGTGCAACAAAGGCTACACCAGAGCGTGGGTGGTTAGTCACTGGCTTCCCACCGCGGTGGCCTGGGTTCATGCCCAGGTCTAGTCCTGTGGGTTTTGTGGTGGATAAAGTGGCAGTTGGGAAGGTTTTCTCTGGGTGCTTCAGTTTCTCCTGTCAAGTCTCATTCCACTGACTGCTCCAAAATCACCACCATCTATCATATAGGGCTGACACAAGAGGCCAGTAGTGGCCACAATACCAAGTGGATTCAGTCTCACCCCACTAGGAAGAATAATATGTTCAACAGAACTGAACAAGTCCCACTATATGATATGTCTAAGGAACAAATCTGCCACACTGTCTGGCATCTGCACTGCATATCATGAAAAAATGTTAAGTACCTTGCATAGCAGCTGGTGCAAGGTGAACATGGGGGCGTGAAGTGGAGCGTGTCTGTGTAGAAGTGGTGGGGTGTGTAGCCGTGTTGCCTCGGGCTTGACTGTTCTGCCCTCCGGCACCAGCAGCTGCCTGGGTGGTTCCACTAGTGCTGGGTGTATTACCAGTGCGACCAATCACATGACCTGCTACAGCGTGCATTAAATTCTGTATGAACTCTGGTGGAGGTGGTGAACCCCAGGGAAAGTTGCCACCTACAGCTGCAGAACAAGAACATCACATTTTCAACACAGCACTATACATGATACATACATAAAGGATGTCTTACAGTTTCCAAACTGTACATTAATAATTCTTATTCTAAAAATACAATAAGGCTGCCCTAACTTGATTTACATAAAATGACACAATATTGGGTTCATTCTCTTGCTTACTGCCGTGCGGTGCAGACGTGCATTCGGTACAGTGACTCAAACTTCAATTCAGTTGTGCCTGTGTAGAAACATTCTCTACGATCTTACGCCTCAAGCGTTTCACAACATAAAAAAGCCTACTCAACTATCCAGCTGCGCAAGTATTACTAGTCACAATCATAGAACCAACCACTCCAAAGCTGACAACCACCTCACCGGCTTCAACAATGGCCCAACCTCCTCTCCAGGGAACCAACTCCTGGACAAAGGTTTCCGCCAAAAGAGGACTCAAGCCTCAAGAAGACTCCTCACGTAAGGCAAAGCTTCATAAAGACGACTCACACTGGTTGAACCCCACCCTTACCCAAAACCACTGAACCTATCCCTAAACCTCCTCCCATTTATGTAAGTGATGTCACTGTCATCCCCCCCTCCTTCAACTACTTGATCAGACCACCCCAAAACAATATGAAATCAAAGCCCTTGCCCAAAA